GCAGCTGGGGGGACGCCTTGCCCTCGCGCCGGACCGTTGAGAGCAGCCGTTGGGCGGGGGGGGCAGCTGGGGGGGACGGCCCGCCTTCGCGCCAGACCTTTAAGAGCAGCCGTTAGGCGAGGGGTAGCTGCGGGAGGGGGTGATGTTTTGCCCTAACGCCAGACCTTTAAGAGCAGCCGTTGGGCGAGGAGTAGCCGAGGGGATGTCCTGCTGTCGCGCCGGACTGTTGAGAGCGACCGTTGGGTGGGTGGCAACTGAGGGGACAGCCGATGTTCGCGCCGGACCTTTAAGAGCGGCCGTTGGGCGAGGGGCAGCTGGGGGGAGGCTCCGCCCTCGCGCCGGGCCGTTAAGAGCGCCCGTTGGGCGGGGGGCAGGTGAGGTGGGGGTTTTCGCGCGCGTGCTGTTGAGAGTGGCTGTTGGGCGGGGCGGCAGGGGCAGTTGAGCGGACCCCTCGCGCGCTCCGGACCGTTGAGAGCGGCCGTTGGGCGGGGGGCAGTTGAGGGGACGCCTGGCGCGCGCAGCAAACCCTTGGGAGCAGGGGGAACCGGCTCGCGTGCCGCCATCTCGAGGCCGGGGAGTCAACCGAGCGGGACGAGTGGCAAAAGTGGAGGTGTGTGTGGGGGGGTACGTGAACGCAGATGCGTGTGAAGCCGTGGCCTTATGGTGAAGGTGTTGGTAGGGATTTCCATGAGAGAGGGTTGTGCTGTGGCGGCAGAAGCGTCGCAGCAGAGCAACTGGTGGTTTTTGCAAAGTACCAGCAAGGTGCTGGAGCAGAGGATGCGTGGGCACATAGTAAAGTTGGTGGGGTATGGTATGGTTGCAGTGATGCCATGTTGTATAACCTGACTTAAAAGTGCTTCTCTCTGGCAAAGCATTGTGTTAGAGAGAGGGGGAAACCATGCAATGTGTTGCTGRCTGTTTCTTCATAAGAGTGCCACAAAAAAAGATGAGAGTTCTATGCTTCCTTATCTGGTGTGTACCCCCTTGATGTGGCTAACTCCTCAAAGATTTTTTTTTTCCTTATTTTAACTAATTCTATCATTTTGATTACCTTTATTATTAAGCTATAGGGATGTTTTATTTAAGAAAGTATTTTAGTAGCTTAGACAATTTTATGTAACTTTTAATTGAATAAGTTTTGAGATTAAGGGCCTTTTTCAATGTATCTATTATTGGGTTATACTATGCTTGTTTTTCCAGAGTGCAAAATCTAGTACCAAAAAGTTGGGAAATGACAGAATAAATGTTTTATGAATAATCCTAATACTGTTCCATGTATATATTCTCCCTGGCATAGAGTCTCAATTAACTAATTGCCCATTGTGTTATTAATAATCAATCTTTCATTTTCAGCCTTTAACTATTTTACATGTGATTCAGTGTTACTTACTTTGCACTTCATAGGTGGAAAACAAGCTGATGAAAAGACCACCTGTCTTATGAAAGCCACCTGTAAATCAGTGGCTGCTCTGAATGAGAAGCTCCCATTCTCTGCATTTTTGCTTTCCAGTCATATTGCCTTATTCACAGAAATGATATGTATTTAGTATTCTGTTTTTTAAAGATGTGTTTACAAGACTCAGCAGTACTTAAAGCAATGATTCTGAAATGAGTCACTCAGCAAAGCAGAAATGAAAGGTATGTAGTCTGATGCCAGAGGTTTGCTTTCCTTAAGTTGGTTGTGGTAGGGAGCTTAGTCCTGTCTCTGCAGCTCTCCAGTAAGTCAGAACAACATTTAAGCCTCATTTCATGAATGAGGAATCAGGAAAGAGATGTGAAAGCCTGACTTTACACATGATTCAATACTTTGCTTTACTGTTCTGGGTCACCATTTTTAATGAGCATTTGACATGCTTGATACTCAAGAACATCAAAAGTGTTATCTATCCTCAAAATTGTGGGGTAGCTGATTGAGGTCAGAAGTTGATCCTAATAGAATCATCCACTATGTTAATATACTCTCATTTCTGTTGCATCCTCTGGTCACTGGAGCTTAGGTATAAGTAATTGACAAGGGGGTTTGGAAAAATTGTATATTTAGTGTCAGAGTCAAGGTGAAAAAGCAAAAATCTCAGCTTCTGTGAAGAAGCTGAGTCCAGTGACTAGAGAATCACAGTGTTGCTTTTGTCAGTTTATTTCTTGAAGATGATGTTGGAGCATTTGGTTAACTTGTATATACCTTTATTTGCTGATAGATAATGTTTCAACTCCTCTGTACGTTAATAAACATAACTACCACAATGTTACAACTGTAATAGCTCAGAGAATAATTATATCCTTCTGGAAATCCAGTCAGTTCTGGCTACTGCGGTTTTGATCTGTTATATTTAAAATCCATCTCTTGCAATGATGCACAGTGATACACAGTTGATTTACTTAAATGTAAACAAAAATCCATCTATTACAATGATACAGTGATATACATTTGGGTTTGCTTAAATGTGAACAGAAGTATTTAATAGATTTCAAATGGCATCTTAAATATGGAGGCAGTTTGAAACTATCATGAAGTTTAGAAAAAAGCACCAAATACCAAGGTCTAAAATTTAAGGTAGTACCTGTTCCAGGTGATAATACTGTGTATTACTCTTTGTCCATAAGTTTCCTGCACTGTTAGGAAGTACAGCTTTGTATTAATCCACAAAGTATAGCTAAGTTTATAAAGGACCTTTTTACTTTCAAATCACATGATTAACAACTGTGGGTGACTTGAAACTTTATACAGGTTCTTTTAAATAGCTGCAGTTAGTAACTGTGATTCATTGCTTGTGAGGAGTAATCTGTTTTGTTGTATGACCAATAGCCAATTTTGCTATTGCCAAATATTGAATAATGTTATAAAATAAATTTGCAACAGAAGAAATTATCTTAAAACCATCTTTGATAAATAAAAAAATCGTAGTATATTTATAGTATCTATTGTAGGAACTACTCACACTTGATTGCCTCAATATGGTCTCCTTGGAATATAGGCGTTCAATGATAATCAGTAAGTACCTTCATCAGGTAACAATGGGCTGTGTAGTGTCATCTGTGTGTTGATTCGTAGCATACAAAATCTCAAGTGCACAGTATTTCGGTTACTGTTATGCAAAAATACTTATAAGTAAGGAAAGCCAATTTCCTTTCTTAAAGGAAAATAATACTAATGTTTTTAAAAAAGCACCTAGCTTGTGAAGAATGAATGCTGACAAAAATGTTTGTTGATTATAGTCAATGAAGTATTTGTTTAATTCAGATTATAGAGGCAATTGCGTCTATGGAAAACATGCGAAGTTCTGAAAGCATTTCAGAAAAACAGATATGTGTTGAATGGCATTTACAAATCGAACCTTTAAGGAACTGAACAATATATGTTAAATGTATTTTTGTATAGTGTACCCTCTTATTATTCATCACTTTGATTTATTCATGAAACATTYGCACTTGAACAGCTAAAAAAGAAAGTGTAGTACCATGCCTGGAATGAATTGAACAAGAACAATTTAGAGCCATTTGGGGACTGAAAATAATGTTTAGTGTTGTCTTTAAATAATGAAAGGCTAAATACTGTAGTGTCTTCAAAGCATTTTGATGCTAATATGATAGAGGGCAGTAAATGAAAACAAGCAGCACTCTTATCAGGAGCCACATTTCACATTCTTCAGATTATTTCAAGTTTTATATAATTCAAAAGTCATTGGTGCTTGTTCTTTGTTAGGCTATAATATATGAGTGGCAGAAATTGCATATTTAACATACCATACATAACAARTATCTTCTCAGTTTGATTAGCTTCCTTTTACAAATCTGATATTTACTAAGTAATAGATAGGCCCTGCTCTGTGTCAGATCCTTTGTGATATAGTGATTTCTCTAATGTTTTATTTCAAAATGTGTTTTTTGGGGTGTTTGGGGGCAGAGGGAGAAGTGCTTGCATTTACATTCAAACGTTTCAACAATGACTTGGATATATAACACTTATGCATGTATGGAAAGTCCTAAGAATATGGGCTGGCAACTTTAGTATTTAGGCTGAAAATATGTTTCTGGAAAAATTACAACTTATTACAAGCTTGTTTATCCAAGCCTTTAAGCAGAAGCTGGATTTTTTTGTTGTTTTTATTCACCCCTGTGGAGAAGACTTGGCAAAAAGATGGCTAGAAGAACTCTGAAAAGTATCTGTTGGGTCATGATTGTTTTTTAAATGCCRTTTGTTCAAGGGAACTGAAAAACATAATCCATGTGTTTCAAGTCCAATTTATTGTTTACTTTGAGGAAAGCTGATTAGGTCTTTAATGGAGCTGCACAGACCACACAACATCTTTAGGGGCACCTAAAGGATTTGGTCTATGTCCAGACAATGATTTCTAGTAACAAAATATTCCTGAAGATAATTTTCGTATCAAATTTCTCTGAAAGTTTTAAGTAGCAGTTTAAAAAGATAGGGCTACGTTAACAGAAAACACAGTAGTGYGAATCAAATAGTAGGAAAAAAATATATATACTTGTAAAGCATAATCACTTTTTTTCCCTAGCAAACACAATAAAATGCAAAAAACTCAATATACCCTCTTTCTTCACCCATACCAAGATTTCTGCTGTTAGGATAATTCACTGAATCTAATTGTTACTTTTTTTTTTTAAATTGAAGAAAACAGGAAGGCTAATTTTCCTGGCAGTGCTTGTCAGAGGAGTTCTGTTTAATCTATAAAGCCCTGATAATATGTATCATCAGAGGGAATCTTGTCAGTGTTTTAATGAAAAATATTTGTAAGGATTTCTGTTATTGTAACTCTATAATCTTACCAAACTTCCAGAGTTGTTTTTCTTGCCTATTAATTCTGTTTCCTGTTCAAGATTATCTGTTTTAGAGGAGACCAAATCTAATTTGKACCTGAATGCATGAAACCTAGTCTGTGCTAATTAAACTGGAGAAAAAATATTTTCTGTGAGAGTATAAAGACAGATCTTACATTTATCAATTTGGAAACAGGAAGTTTTTCTGCTGACAGAGTACATTGAGGACAGTTTCATTTTAGTTTTCTTGTAATGGTCTTGCTAAATTATTGTCACTTAGCTTTCTACAGGAGCTTAGAGCAGCATTGGCAAACTTGAAGCCTGCATTTTCCACGATGAAAAAGGATATAGAATTCATTGAAGTGGCAATCCATATTCCTGTGTTTTAGCTTGTGAGTAGTTTGTGAGATTATTACAGTTAAGAGTCTAATTTGCTGTATTTTAAGGTGAAAAGTATTTTGTCT